ATTCGTTCTTGCCCACCAGGCTCAGGGATCCTGTAACCCAACCAGCTAGGATCCAAGAATAATGGAAATTTAAGAGTTACCTCGATTCCTAGCAGCCTCTTTGCTGCCCTCCTGGCCCCTATTCTCTCTCTCCTCCAATTCACATAATCCTCAGCTGTTAGCATAATCGTTCTCAAATTCCATTCTCGTGAAGTCACTCCCCAGCTCAATCACCACCAGCAGCTCCCTAGGTCTATTTTATCAACCTAAAGTCATCAGTTTGGAACCCAAAACTTATCAACTGTTCCCTACACTACCATTTCAACCAAGCTTATACAGACTCCCCTCCAGGCAAGCCAATTTGGTTATCTTCTTCTCTGTGCTTTTGAAGTCGCCTACCCCTCCCTGCCATAGGCCAAGTAGCCCATCTCAGAGCGCATCTCAACCAGGATGCATTTCTGATTAGCCTCAACACTTCAGACTGCTTTGATTTGAAATCCCTTCGGGTCTTATGTACAAAACCAGCAAGCTCTCTGGGTCCAGAAAGGGAGAGTCAGAAGACCATCAACTTGTGACCAATAAGAGATTACACTGAGTGGTCATGTCTTTTCATCATCGGATACATTTATAATATCTTAATGACTTTATATTTGTGCAGGGCACTCTACTAGATAATGGGGACATCAGGGTAAGCCAAAGTCCCTGCCTTCATGGAATTTCTATTAAACAAATGTAATTAAAATGACCATACATACTACAAAGGGAAAGAACAAAGATGCTGTAAGAGAGAATCATAGGACGGAGCTAATAATTTTGGTTTAGGTGGACAGGGAATATTCTGAGAACATAATATCAAGGCTGAGGCCTGAAGGTTGAGTTCGATTTAGCCAAAGAGCAAGGGCAAAGTATTTCAGGAAGAAGAAGTAATATGTGTAAAGGCTTCCACTTTAATCAGTCAATATTTTTTAAGCATATACTAAATATATAATGCTTTCCAAAGAGCAATATAGGGAAATATAAGACGGTCTTCCCTTAGGGAGATAAGACATAAATCATCTTGATTACATCGGAATGCTCAGGATCCTAGACCAAACACTGCAGTCTGGGTGGATTAAACAACAGAAATGTGTTTTCTCACAGTTTTGGAGGCTAGAAGTCCATGATCAAGGTGCTAGCCACTTTGGTTTCTGGTGAGAGCTTTCCTCGCGGCTTGTAGATGGCCACTTTCTTGCTATTTGCCTCATGTGACCTTCCTTCCACCCTCTGAGGTTTGTAGCATGGGCCCTGTGAATTAAACTGACAAAAGACATATTAACAGAATTTTTAAAATAAGAGTTTAAAAACAAGAGGTGGTTAGGACTTGGGGCTTATCTGCTGTCTTAGCAAACAGCAATAAATTTATGGAGAAGTGACAAAATAGAGGGGAAAAGTTTTGGCCTCTGGGGTGGTAAGTTATGGAAAGGTAAATACACAGGGAAACTAATGGAAGAAAAGGGTTATTTCGGCAAGTTTGTTTGTGCAGACCCAAATCAGTGCCAACTCCTTGTCTCTAGTGATAATGGTTGTTTTCTTCCTGCTGGTACAGGAGAAGGGAGAGGAAGCACCTTCACAAAAGGAAATTTATGTCCTGCTTTTAGGCAGATAGTGGGAAAGCAAAGAGCTCTTTTTGTGTTTGCTGCTTCCTAATTGATTTCAGGTCAAAATAATCCTTATGCCAAAGTGACATATTCTGGTCCCCTTTGTGGGAATGTAGAGTATAACAGGGAGATGAGACAAGGCTGAATAAGGAGGCAGGGACTAGACCTTGGAAGGCTTATAAGAGAAGTTAGGGGTGCTTGGGTGGCTCAGTTGGTTAAGTTTCTGACTCTTGATTTTGGCTCCGGTCATGTTCTCAGTGTCAGGGGATCGAGCCCCTTGTCAGTGGGGCTCTGTGCTGGACATGCAGGCTGCTTAAGACTCTTTATCTCCTTCTCCCTCTGCCGCTCCCCACTTGTGCACTCACTCGTGCTCTCTCTCTCTCAAAAAAAAAAAAAAAAAAGAGTAGTGAACAGGTTTGAGCAATATCCTGAGAGCAATGGGAAATCTTGAGTGGGGTGGGAAGATTTAGGAGGGAGTCCTAACATGATGAGACTTGGTTTTGAGGACAGGTAAGGCTAGGGACAGGACGAGACATGAAGGTACATCCAGAGTAAAATTTAGTAGGGCTTTTGTCATTAGATGCTAGGGTCAAAGAGAGAGAGAGAGAGTGGTTTCGGGTTTGGGCAACAGAAAGGGTGCTAGTACCTTAAATTGGGGTAGGAATGCTTCAAGTATGAGGACGGGGGATGTCATTCTGACCAAGCCCCTGTGAGAGGTCCAGTTGACAGCTAGGCATTTGAATCTGGAATTCTAAGAAACAGTCTGGCTAGAGATAGAGATTTTAGAACAATTTTACTTTTTTTTTTTTTTTTTGAGAGGGAAATGGGGGCCGGAGACAGAGGGAGGAAAGAGAGAGAGACTCTTAAGCAGGCTTCAAGTCCAGATCGGAGCCCGACTTGGGGCTTGATCTCACAACCCTGAGATCATGACTGGAGCCCAAATCAAGAGTCAGATTCTTAATCGACTGAGCCACCAAGGTGCCCCTGGAATAATTTTAGATGAAAGTGGAGGTGAAAAGAATGGATGGGTTTGCAAAGAAAGAAAGCGTAGGGTGAGGAGAAAGCCTAGAACGAGCCCCTGAACCATTCCAATGTTGGGGGCAGGGGAACAAAGGGAACTGATGAAAACAGAGCAGTAGAAGGAAAACTAGGAGACTGTGGTCAGAGATGCCAAAAGAAGGGGATGATTTGACCAAGACGGAGGAGGAAACACAGGGGTAAAAGCCTCAAGATCAAGTAACAGAAGAAGAATAAGACTGCAGCCTCAACAGGGACAAAAGAAGGGTACAGACAAGGGGTACTGAAGGAATTCAGAATGGTAAACTTGCTGGGGACCATATTTTAGTGCGACCTGCATCTTGGCACTGATAGCAAGTCTAGCTTCTTGAATAGTTCCCTAAAAGCTGCCTCTGAATCTGACTGGACATGAAACAGACCAACAGGCAGGCTAAGGAGAAGAGTTAATTTACCATGTTTTGAATAATGCTTATTGCAACCCAGATCTGCTCACCAGCTAAACATATGTGGATAATGGATGACAGACAGCAGGATGCCCAAGTGGTTGCTGGATGGCAAGTTTAAGTAGGTCAATCAGGAACACAGAAGGAAGTAAAAATGCTTTAAAAGATCCCACCAAAGCACAACTTCAAACAATGTGGCCTTGCTGTGGATGAGCAGAAAACCACAATTGTTGTATTAGCCCAATGAAGAACACTTAGAAAAGAGATGCTTTTGGGGGGGTGGGGGAGGAAGAAGGGGCGCATTAGGCAAATTCTAAGCTTTAGAGCCAGAACGCCAAGCATCACGGTCTCTCTATTTATTCTTTTTAAAGATTCTATTTATTTATTTGACAGAGAGAGAGAGGCAGTAGAGAGAGGGGGAAGCAGGCTCCCTGCTGAGCAGAGAGCCCCATGTGGAGCTCGATCCCAGGACCCGGACACCATGACCTGAGCGGAAGGCAGAGGCTTAACCTGAGTAACCCAGGTGCCCCATCATGGTCTCTTTAAATGCTGACTCTAGATAAACATTTTCACACACAAGAAATGTCATCATTATGTATGCTGTGTTGTAAGTTGCTACATTCAAGTTTATAAGAATCTCTTGCACAAGTACTTTTCACGCAGCATGTTGTGTCAAAAAGAGCTATGTATGTAAAATGACCACAAGCTTAGCATGATCAATGTCATGTGACAATTTAAAATGCAAATACAACTTTAGTCTACTTTAATAGAAGTCATCCAGATAGGAAAAGCAATAGTCTCATCATTCTCTGCATTTATCAGCATAAATATGGAGTGTTGCATTCAGTTCAAAGCATCAAATTTTAAGGGCGGTATCTCTTTCTTTGCATTACCATTACTAGATTCTCATCTCCTATCTGGTAGGTTGTTTCCAAAGATGGTCCAGAAATCAATCGCTCAGGGGCACAAGCCTTTTGCAGCGTCACTTTGCTACTCCTCCCATCTAGAGGTGGAATCTATTTCTCTCCCTTGAATTCACGTTGGCCCTGTGTCTTGCTTTAATCAACCAGAAGTGATGGGGTGTGACTTACAGACCTAGGCCCAAGACAACCGATTTTCAAAATCCATTTTCATCATCCACCAAACCCCCAAATTTTACTAGTTCCCTGGTTCACACATTTTGGGGGGAGAGGGAATAGGAAAGAAATTTGCAAGAGCCTATTATGTGTGTTAGACATACCAACACACATCAATGCATTTAATTTTTAGTCTTTTTTTTTTTTTTTTTAGACTAAGGAAATACAAGTTCAGAGATGTGACTTGCTTAAGGACCTAAAACTAGTTAGCGCCAGAGGTAAAATTCAAAATCAAGCCTCCGGATTTCCCAACACACCACAAACACACCTCCGGATTTCACAACACACTGCCTTTCCTATCAGGAATAAAAATTTCTGCCTGCTTTCTGAGATTTTCAATGATCTGGTCACCTACGTAATTATTTTCCAGTTAATGCCTTAACTCTTAACCAGACTGATCTGTTTCCCTTCACTTACCAGTTTTCTCTTCTAATTCTACCCATACCTCAGAGTCCAGTTTAAGTCTCCCTTTTTACCTCCATGAAACCTTCCTCATCTTAATCCCAATTTATTTCCCTCTCCTCTTAATTTTGACATCACTTATAATGGGCACCACATAACGCTGCACTCCGCTCCATTGCTTTTCCTTTAAAGAGACCGTAACGTCTTCAGTGTAGACAGCCCCGGATCCAAACTAAACGTTTGAAGCGTGGCAATCCCTCCAAATTTCCTATTTCCCTTTGAGCTATGATAGGTACTTCTGCAGTGATAAATGAACTCAACTCAACAAATACTTCTTGATTAAGGTCAGCCCCAAACTCTCGTGTTCTACCCTCTGCTTAAACCACCGCGCGAATCAACCGATCCGCAGAGGTTGAGCGGCGAATGGAGACGATGGATAGTCCAGCCACGTAACGCTCCCCGCCTGCTTTAGCAAGCCACGCCCAGCCGGCTGGTCGCCGATTGGGCGTGGCCCAGCCTAGGGTGGCCGATTGGGCGTGGCGTGCGTGACTGAAGGCGTGGCCGAGGGGAGAAAACTACGCTCTGGGTCGGACTCGGTAGTCTCCGGGAAACCTCGATAGTTTCCGGCAACGGTCTCCTCCTCCGCCGACCGGCCTCGGGCGTTTCCGGCCTCCTTCGGGCTTTTCCGTCTGGCTCCCGCGCGGATCTCTCCACTTCGGGTATTTCCGTGTCCCGCTCGGAGGTACTCGGCAATCGCTCGGCCTCCCCCATCCCCCGGTAACGGTCGCTGGTGAGTTTAAATGAGCCGGGGCTGGCCGGGCCGGAGCCGCTACGGGGGGGGCCTGAGGCACTGCAGAAAGTGGGCCTGAGCCTCAAGGATGACGGTGCTGCAGGAACCCGTCCAGGTAATGATAACCCCGCTCGCTGAGGCTTGGCTCGCAGCCTCGGCCGGGAAGCCGCGTATGGCCACTCCGCGGCCTGCTGCGGCCTAGGCCCGGCTGCTTCTCCCGCCTCCCCTGCTGCCGGGTCCTGCGTGTCTTCTCGTCGGCTCCGAGGCCTTTCCCGCAGCCCGAGCCGTGTTACCTCAGGTCCCACGTTGCTTCCGCCCGCGGTGTGAGCGCGGTTCGGCGATAATGCGGCCTTCCCCGGGCGGGCCAGCGTCCGGCCAGCCCCTCCTGTCAGTCCAGGGGCCTGGTCGCGGCCGGGGTGAGAGACGAGGGACAGGGGGCGGGGGCCGGAGACTCGCCCCAGGTGCTCTCTCGCCCAGAGGATGATTGGGAGGCACCTTTGATCAGAGCTTGGGCCACCTTCGTAACGGTGGGGCAAGTTGGCGGGGGGTGTTTGGTTTTGTTTTTGTGCTCCGGGAGCGGGCGGAGGGAAGATAGGATCGGTATTTTTTATCCCGATTTCTGTTTTGGTAACAGACTTCCTCGCCCACGTTGCTTTCCTCGGTCGGTGAATTCGCCCCCACCCCCCGACGGTGATCCGGGAAGAGAAAACTCCAAGGCCCAGTGCTGAGGGGCAAGCACCTCTACTGGGGGCGCGGGGGGGGAGCCGGGGGGTGGCAGCGGCAACTCTAGGGGCTCTCCCCGTGACCTGTGATGGGGATCTGGAGTGTTTTATTGTACATGTTGATAAGGCGTTCAGGAAATGAAAGACAAATAAGGGTTTTTACATCCATTTCACTGTCCTTACGACACCAGGGTATGCTTTGACGCACAGTGCTCGGTTGGCATGGGAGAAACCCGATTGGATTTGAAGTGTGATGCAGTGCCAAGTCTTCCCCCCCCCCGCCCCGCCCCCCGCCATCTCAAGAAACTGAATCTTTTGTCCCTTCCTGACGGACCAGGTCTGGGAGACTTTCAACTCACCGTAGGATCTTTGCCTGGAATAGAAGAGTTGACCTCTACCAACTGCTGTCATTGAGTTAAGGGCTTGCTTTACTTGGAAGTTACAAAGCAAATCGATTTTAGAAATTACTTCATATAACCCTTCATAGGCCTGTGATTTCAAATGATAAATATTTTAATGCGTCGCCACTTCCATATTTCCTTAATTTTTCTAGGCAGGATGAAATAGAAATTTCTCCCAGCTGGCTTCTTCTTTACATACAGCTCTTTACATAGAAGAGCTATTAGTATTGGAACTAATGTAACATAGGATTCTGTCTTGGGAAATTTACCTGTTTGTAAATTGTATCAATGCTTCCAAAGCTATTTCTTGCCATCCAAATCCCTCTTACTGGTAAAGGGTCCCTTTAAGATTTTTTTTTTTTTTTTTGAGGCCTAATGTGAAATTAGTAGTTTTCTGTACCTTCTTAAATGGATAAGCAGATCACTCAAGTTGTTTAATTTCTGTTTCATATTCTTGTAATTTTGTCTTACCTAATGTTACATTTGCTTTCTCTGGCCCCAGAAGGCTTCTCAAATGATAAACTAGCTTCATTGTTAGCCTATAAACACTATTTAATAACAATTTCAACTTGTACATAAACATGAAAAAGAAAAGAAATGTGTAGCCTACGCCTATAGAGTACTCATCAGGTTTACTCTATTTTCCTTACTCGTAGCAGTAATGCACTTCAGGATTTTTTAGGCTTAAAAGTCAAATATGTCGCCACCCCCCTTACTACCTTTGTCCATTAGATTTGGGGACTGTGGTAAGAAGTTTTACAATATGGCTACGTGAGAATTTTGGTTGTAATTTGTGGTAGAAGAATCCATTCAAGATGGGGTGGAATAAACAACTTTAGCTACGAGGATGAACAACTGATTAGGGATAGGGCTGAAAATGGGAAGAATTGGTAAGGAGAAAATAAAAATAGGACAGATAGAATTTAAAAAAAAAACTGTGGTAAGTAATTGTACTTATAATGGAATGAAAGTTTGTTGGAAAATTGTTTAAGGCATCGTGAAATTACTAGGCATAGGAAAAAGTTGAGAGGAAAGATGAGCAACTGTTTGCTGTGTTTTTTTTTCTTTAAAGTTTTTTTCTTTACCATGGAATAGCCAATCTGGTAAACCAACTAAGCCTAAATATTAGCTCCTCCTCCAAATTGTCTCTCATAGAAAAGCATTACTTTATATATGCATCTTTACAAACATCTCTCCTATTATGAGGCAGAAATTCTGTCAGTTATTTTTAATATAACTGTTTACGAAAGACGCTAGCCTAAATGACTTCAATCAGTGTTAATTTGGATATTTATAAAATTCACCTGATGAAATTGATTTTAAAAAAGCAAAGACATTTTAATGGATTTATCAATTATTCCTGGGGATAGAACTTCACAGAAGTGTTGGATGAAATTAAACAAGGCTTGTAAAAATCACCTTAATAAGCAGGATAGTAAATGGGTACTATACATATAGTATTGGTTCAAACAGATTATTTAGATAGTGAAGGAATACTTTTGGCTTGAATAAGATGTACAAGGACAGCATCTTTTTTTTTTTTTTTTTTAAGATTTATTTATTTGAGAGGGCAGAGGTCAGAGGGGGAGAGAATCCCAAGCAGACTTCATGCAGAGCTTAGAGCCTGACACAGGGCTTGATCCCACCACCCTGAGATCACAACCTGACCTGAAACCAAGCATCAGATGCCTGACCATGCCACCAGGCGCCCCTACAGTTAAAGCATTCTAACATGGATTCAAAGGGTACCATATTTCAAATAACTTAGAATTGAAGGTGTTGTAGTCAGGAAAATTATGTTAGATGACCCCCCCCTCCCCCCAAAAAAAATGGCTTTGTTGATATCTAAGATAGATGTGAATAGTTTTAGTGAAATTATTCTGTTCAATGGAAGTAGAAAAAAATTTCTAAATATATTTTATGACTTTGAAAATATATCTGTTGAACTAAATTGATAAATCAATAGGCATTTGACTATTTGGTCTTTATTCAAAAAACTTATATACTTGAGTTTGCTGAACTCATTTGTTTATGAAATTTTCTTTTAGAAAATAGATTGCCTTATATTTAGGTACAGTGTAATATCTTGAAGACAGTGCTGTATAGTACTGAACTGAGAGAATCAGCTTTGGGGAATGGAGGTGAAGGAGGAGGTCATTGCAATATATGATAACTTAATTCCTTTACGGACTAATGTCCTAATGTAGCCCTTTTTGTGCTTATGGTCTATAGAGAAAGCATTAGACAAATAATCACAAATTAATAATCTGTGAAAAGGGCACTATGAAGAGGGTGTTAGGAGAGAGAGACCTAATAGGAGGGATTTGACCTAAGCCAAGGTGTCCGGTTTGCAACTGAACCACCAAAAGAGGTACTGCAAAAAAGCAAAAGTTAAGAAGCCGTCTCGGGGAAAAAATCAAATTGGAAAGAATGTTATGCACCAGTTATGTACCAAGCACAGAAGAATATAAAAGACATTTGAATATCTCTCTAAAAGTAGTCTCAAGAAAGTCCTTTTTGAGCAAATAACATTGAAGCTGAGATCTGAAGGTTGAGAAGGAAACAGTAATTTGAAGAGCATTACAGGAAGAGAAAAGGGCATGTGCAAAGTCCCTTAGACATAGCAAAACTTGGTGTTGAAATAATTGAAAGGAGGCCAGTGTGGCTGGAGTTGCATATTAATGGGGGGGGCATTATAAAGAGTTCACTTTTCATTCTAAGTATATGGGGGGGTCCTTGGAAAGATTTTCAGAAGAGGATTGACTTGATCTGACGTAGATGTTAGATCTCTTGGTTACTATATATGAAATGGAATGAGAGGAAGGAGGCAAGAGTAAAAACAGTCTTCGGATGAAAATAACAGACTGAGTGGTAGTAGTGGAGTAGAAAAAAGGTTGATATTCATGAGCTGTTTGGAGGTAGAACCAAGAAGACGTGCAAATTGATTGAATGGGAGAGGATGGGGATCAAGAACATCTGCCTGGATTTCATCTGGGTGGTACTGTTGAATAAAGGAAGAATCCTTTGAGAGGGAGACAAATCTGAAGAAGGACAATCTGTTTTGAACAAAATAAGTTAGAGATGTTTGTGAAGCCAACCCGTGGAAACGTGGAGACATAACCTCTGATCTTTTGAGGGGTCTAGTCTTATTGGGAAGATAAGAATGTTTAACAGGAACAATTGGATAATGTTATAAGTCAAAATGTATTTCATTGTACAGATACTAATAAATTCAGGAAGTAGATCCTTTTAGACTGGAAAAATAGGAATGGTTGTTGGATGGAGTAGAACTTAAAGCTTTAGAAGATAGGAAGGGTTTGAATTGGTAAAGAAGAGAAGGAGTGTTTTTGGCATGGAATAGCATGAGCAAAAGCCCAAATTTGAGAATGGTGTTTAGGAACCAAAAACAAAACAAAACAAAATGGTAAAATATCATAGCCTTGGTTAGAATGGGAATTGAGAGTAGGAAGACAAGGTTTTGCTAGCCAGGGAGAATCAGATTTTACAGGACTTAACCCAGGTTGAGGGGTTTAACGTATTGGTAATAAATAACCATTGAAGGTTTTGAACAGAAAGATTTGTAATGAAAGCACTGCTTTGGGAAGGTTAATCTGGTACTGTTGGGAAGAAGGGACAAGATAAGAGTTAGAGAGACATAGAGGCTAGTAAAATAATCCAATTACATGGTAATGTACACCAGGGATTCTCATTCTTGGCATTATTGACTTTTGGGGCAAGCTAACTCTTCGTCATGGGGAACTCTTTCGGATGTATTGTGGAATGTCGTGCAACATCCCTGGCCTCTACCAACTAGGTACCCCCTCCGTTTGTGACTACCAAACACCCCCCCACCCCCCGCCGGCATTATTAAATATCCCTTAGGGGGGCAAAATCACCCAGATGGAGAACCACTGATGTAGACCTAAGCTAAATTAGAATTCTAGAAATTAGATCGTAATGTATAACAGGAAAATTCCACAGTGATTTTTTTC